ATCTTGTTTTCAGACTGATTTACTAAACAAGAACTGATTGTGTAAGAATAATCGTCTTGTTTTCAGAATGTGTAAGATTATTTGTCTTGGTAAGATTCTTGAAATAAGAAAAAATTGAGTCAAATCAAGTATTTCAAGAAGACTAACAAGACAAATAATCTTACACATTCTGAAAACAAGATGATTATTCTTACACAATCAGTTCTTGTTTAGTAAATCAGTCTGAAAACAAGATCAAAAAGACTTTTTGGCTGATATAAGGTTTTAAAACTTGGTGAGATGGACAGTTTTTGCAGTGTAGAAAAAAAGCAAAAAGAAAAAAATAAGTGGACAAAACATTTCACTGAAGAGGAACCCGTCCAGAGGACCAATTTTTTTTCTTTTTGATTCATGAAGGTGTTCCCACGAAGTCTCCAAAGTGTTTCAGGATCAGTTTCTGTCATCTGACTGCTCGCTTTTCAACATCCTATAAAACTTTGTGCGTCAGGTTTTCCCTGAAAGCAGCAGCACGGCGGATCAGTGGTTAGCACCGACACCTCACAGTAAGAAGGTCCTGGGTTTGATCCCCGGTTTGGACCTGGTGTCTTCCTGTGAGGAGTTTGCGTGTTCTCCTCATGTTTGCGTAGGTTTTTTTTTTTCCAGATACTCCGGTTTCCCCCACTCCTCAGAAACATGTTGGCTTCAGGCCTTGAAAATAATTCTGAGATCTCATTGGGATTTGTTAAAAAATGCTCAAATAAAAATAATAATCACAATGTCGTCGCAGGCTGGTGTGTCCAACTCATCAGGATTTTCCTGCAGGCCCAGCTCAGAAGCACAGCTGCAGTTTGACTCGTTCACAGCAGCTCTCCTGAGTGTGGCAGCATCACGCCTGCTTCACAGACAGGTTCTGCTCAATCATCAGGGTGCAGTGAGGTCATAATCCTGGGTGAAGGAGGACCTAACGTGGCGTGAAGCCCAAGAAAAGCTTTTTGATTCATGGAAATCAAACAACTCTCAAAAACAAAACCCAACAGATCCAGTGTTTCTGCTGGCTCACAGCAGCCTCTGAGCAGGACGATTTACTGCATCTAACCCTAAAAATAGCCTGGAATACGTTCACTTATTAGTGCACATTTTGCAGGTCAAGGCAGCCAATCATGTCAGCTGTGCTGGGAACCACCTAGAGAGCCTTTTGATCCCTGACTTTAGTCTCGCAGGCAGAGACTGTATTTTCTGTGGCGAGGGATGAGAGCTTTCTTAGAGGATGTTTTGCTGGTTCTGCAGCTGTTTTCACCACATCTCTGTTCCAACGATGAGAGGAAATGAGGACAAAACAGTATAAATAGGACAAGCTACAGAAGAGCAGCTCTACCTTTAAGACTGTTTGCTCAAAGATGGAAAAAAAACTGAACCAGCTTCAAATACTAGAATAAAGGTGGGTTATTGATAAAAAAAATACAGTCTGATGTCCAACCAAGACAAAGCAGCCTCAGAGCATCAACAGAACCCAACAAGCCAGTGCCCCTTTTTCTCCCTCTGACTTCATGAGATTGAGACTCTTTGTGGTTCACTTGACATGTCAGACAGAGCAGCCAATCTGATTGAATTTAGTCACGTTGTGAGCTCGGAACCAGCAGATGGAGCCAAGTCCTGCAGTCATGTCCTGAAGACGGGCTTCAGAAGGGTTTGACTCACACCAGATGACAAAGTGTCACTTCCCTGCAGTCCTTCTGCTGCTGCATAATGTTGTTATGTGATACGGATAGAAATGATCTCACTGACACGCCTCTGGCTGCAAATGCTTTTTATGTAAAGCTTTTTTTTTTTATCAAAGATAAGAAAGAAAACAACAAATAATGATGCTTAACTCTCATTTAAATACCTCTGCATGTACACTCAGTAATAAACTTGAATACTAAGGTGAATAATACTTTTGAAGAAAAGGAAAATACTTCAAAACTGCATTAAATTTAGGGTCATTTGGTTGTAAATGTGTTTTTTAAAATATTTTGCAGTATTTGCCTGTTGGTTCTGAAACAAACTGTCCAGCCTAGCGCCACAGCTCAGAAATCCTTCCCTTAGCAAAAAGTAGTATATACAAGTATTCTTTATGTATACTAATTAAAAATATATACTTCCAGTTTATTTTTTATGTACTTTTCTGAGCTATACTTAACCAAGTTTACCTTACACTAAACTTGGCTTGTACTAAAATATACTACAAATTCAAGTATACTTAATCTATACTAATGTTTAAAGTTTTGGCCAAGATCAACTTTAGTAGTACGCTGAAAGTACATTTTCACACAGACTGGTTTATCTGTAGTATATTTCAAGATTAAACTAAAAGTACACTTAGAAAATTACTTTCAGTATTCTTCTGAGCGTACTTTCATAAACTTATTGTTGGCCAATTCAGTCCTAAAAATATACTTGTTAATAAACTGCTACTTATATCAGTGTAAACGGTAAATAAAAGTACATTTAGGGAAATAAACTTTTATATACTTTAGTGTATTTAATGACATGCACTTAAAGTATACTTTATAAAATACATAACAGTATACTTAAAGTATACTTTTTTATATAAAAAAGTCCAAATTTAGTACAAACAAGTATTAAATTTATATACTTTCTAGTACACTACAAATACATGGTGCCTAGTATACTTGATATACTTAAACTTATACTTAAGCATGCCTATTAAGATGAACTTCAAGCATACTATTCTTTGCTAAGGGTTTCTTTATAAATGCAGGTTTTCAGATCTGCGGGACAAACTGGTCCTGGTCTTGCTGGACTGTACGGCCCACCGCTGCCCACCGCAGGATGTGTTGAGGCACTACACCTGTCTGCAGAAACTGGACACAGTTCCTGTTAATAACAGATATGTGTTGTGCTCTCCCTCCCCCCCCCCCCACACATCATGTGTTCCATCTTTTTGTTTGTTTGTGTTTTGATTTTGTTCTGAATTGATTTATTTGATGCGTTCTACACTGTCTGTTCACCCAATAATTATCTGAAACCACACCTGTGCTGAGTCCCATCCTCCCTCCCTCCCTCATCTTTTTGACACATTCACACCACGCTCGCCCTCCCCCCGTCTTCCTCTGTGTTCGTCCTCGTCACTGCTCTCCTCCTCCTCCTCTATCCTCCAGAGTTTCCTCAGTAAAAGGTTGAAGGGCTCAATCAAGAGGGCCAAGAGCCAGCCGAAACTGGACCGAACGAGCAGTTTCCGCCACATGATCCTCCCCCGCTTCCGCAGTGCCGACCAAGACAGGTGAGTGAGGCGGTGTGCTTTGATTGCATGACGGTCGGTGTGTGTTTGACCACCGCTGTGTGTAATCATGAAGCTAAAGTTGACTGGTTCCTCCAATCGTTCCCACAAATTAACATAATGTGCTTTGATTTTTTTTTTCATCTACTGTAAAACTCTCGTCCAGTTCTGGTTGATTTATTACTGACATGATGGGTTGGAAAGTAAAATGAGTTTGTTGAAAGATGATGGGAGCATTTTTGTGGGAAAAAAAGGGTATTTGAAAGTATGAGTCTGATGGGATATTTGCAGTGTTTCAGTCAGAAGAGAAAACAAACAAAATAAAAGCTTAGTTTCATGTTTGCACATTTTTGTTCAGGTAGCACACTGACAAAAAGGATTTTTGTGTGTAGTAACATTTTTTTTAATTATTCTTTTAAAATTTACAAAAAAGTATCAAAATCTCTAAACTACTAGAATTTACTAAATAAACAATATGC